ATACAAGTAATGATAGTTCGTTAAATAGTCTTGATTTTAACTCTCTTCTCTTAAATGCTGAAGGTGAATAAAAATTTCATTATTAATTAATTAAATTACTATCCATTAATCATTACTAACAATATTTTTTATTTACATTAAATTCTAATAATTAAAAGAAATAATCGATGAATGACTAATTTAATCTCCACTATAAATTATTATTTGTCTTTTTATTTTATCTTTATTTTATTCTTAAAGCTAAATTATGATAATGTTTTGAATAATAAACTTTTTGATTCTTGTTATCATTTCAACCTTTTGACCACTCTTGTAAGTTAATTGCAAATAATTCAGTGCTTGTCAATTAATTAGTTTACAAACTTACTTTGGTTCACTTTTTCTTGACACTTAGACGAATCTGTGAGCACACCTAATGGTACCAGATAATTGTAAATAAATAAATATGGACTCAAGGGCTTCTATAAAGTCCTTTTTATTCATTTCTAATTGATTTATTCGTTTACATTCATTGGCCAATTGCAAACTCACTTTGGCTTACTTGCAAAACAACTTAAGTAGCTTGTTTAACAGCCTTGCATTTACAATTACAATAATATTACCAATATTTCCAATCAACCTTTGATGATGTTTCATTAACATCCACTAGTTAACCAATGTTAGTCCAAATCTTTGCTTACTCGCTAAAACAAATCACGTTACTAATCGTCATTAGTTAACCTAATCTTGCTTGCTTGCTCACTAAAGTAAATAAACGTGATTTTTTACCAAAGCTCCACAATTGTTACCTTTTACCATAGTACTAACTATACTTGTTGCTTTAAACAAAGAAAATAAAGATAATGCTTTTATTTTTATTTTTAAAAGTTTATCAACAATTAATTTTATTTAATAAAAATACAGTAAGAGGTGCTTAATTTATTTAACAATCCCAATTCTCCTGCTTGCTTGTACCTATAAAGCTGTAAGCCACAATAAAGCGTGGTCATTTAGAAAGCAGCAAATGTCTTTCTAAAGTTCCTTCTTTATTTGCTTTTACAGCTGATCCAAAGCTCCGTTAGTTTGTTTGTTCTCTTTATAAGACTCCTTGAGCTGCTTATTTAATAGCTGTACAATAACAATATGTGATAACAACTTCAGTTAATAACCGTCAGCACTTTATACTCTGCCGAACAACTTCAACACTTTTATGTTTACACGCAAACACTCAACTTTTTACAACCAAAACCTCGGAGACCTATGCCACTCTTATAAGCAATGGGCAATTAAACCCTACTGTTAAATTTTCAAACGAAAGTATTTGTTATTGAATTTGTGATATTATTTATTATAGAACGAATTATTTGTAAAAATAATTTTGCATTAATTTCTGCCTCTCTCTACTCCTAAAGGCAAGGTTCTCTGTTTATTCATTTAAGGTTGTTCTTGATAAAAAAAAAATACCATATGAATGCAATAATACATACAGAATCAACATCCTTGCATTTATTGACATTTCTCTTCTCTTTTTCCTGATATCATCATAGTTATCAATTCGTATTGATTATGTCCTGCCATTTACATAGTCATAAAGTCCATTATAGCTTATTTATAGCTTATTCCCACAATTATAAAATCACCCAAATTTATAATTTGGGAATTTCTCTCGTTTTAAAAATGGCTAGTTTTAAAACAGCCTTAGAATTATTGAAATACTATCGTTATTATGGATGCATTAAAAGAAAAAGTCAACTAACTCATTTAGAAAATGCTTGACTTTCCAAAATACAAAATAACTTTCAAAAATCATTCGTTTCTAAAGAAACATATAGGAGTCCTTGGATAAAGATTTTACAAAATATGTTATTATTGCAAAACCTAATAATTCTCAACAAAATACATATTTATGGTCTTCTGGATTTGAGGAATTTGTAAAAGACACACAACCAGATGCAGTAGATTTACTCATTCTTTATGATAAAAAGGTTATTGCAATGTTATTATGTGAATTTATTGTAGTCATAAAGACAAGAGACAAAAAGGAATATAAAGCAAATTCATTATACAATTGAATATGTATCATAAACCGATTTTATCAAGAAATAGTAATAGAGAATTATTTACGTGATATATTGCATACCAGAATGATAGTAATAGAATTGGAAGAAATTAATAATGGTGATTATAATGGGGCTGATACTCTTGCCGATGAAAAAATGCCACGATTTTTTGAACATCCGATATTAATATATCACATAGAATACCAGATGGATTATTGCAGTCTATCAGTTTATCATAATTTTCCTTCCATGACTATATATATCGTCATTATCATTGTCCGTTAGTATTAAGAATGACATATATCTGATGATGTTAGCTGGCTGATCTGTTAAGTCATTTATTAGCCGGTTAATCTATTTATTATATGATTAATCTGTTGGACCATTTATTAACCGGATAAGCTGATTAAGTCAGTTTAGTTAATGGAATGAGTGAGTGAGTGAGTTGTCGGGAAAACTCTCTGTTGGAGAAACGTATTGTCGGGAATCGTAGAAAATAGCAAACGAGATTAATGTTTTGTCTAATTGGTCAAGCCAGTCACCTGACTTGAGTTCAATTGAGCATCTGTGGTCAGAGTTGGAAAGAAGAATTAGAAGAAGTCCGAAAGATATTATCTAGTTGGAGTCTGCATTGCAAGAAGAATGGAGCAAAATTTCAAAAGATGTCCTAATATTAATAAAACAGATTGAAAGTACGCCGAAGAGAATCGAAGCAGTAATTGAAAATAATGTATGGTCAACAAAATATTGGGTTCATGCATGTATTCTTTATTAATTTATTTATTGATTATTATTATTATTATTATGTGCGTTTTCGGACAATTGAAAAATTTCTTTGGTGGCCAATTTTGATGACAAAGAAATTTTGATCGATAAAAATGTTAGGGTAAATGAAAATTATGCGCATATAATTTGGATGAACCTAAGCCGAAAGTGGTTTATTTAATTATTATCAAGTACGTTTTCGTGCAATTAATTAATTTTAAATGCGTGTCCCATATAAAAAAAGATAAAAATTAATTAATCAAATTAATACCAAATTTTTTTAAATTATTAGAAATTTGGTGATGTTCTTTGATAAGTCTAATTTGCATTTTAAAGTCAAAATAAAAAAGCATCAAGACTTTTGAAAAATTTTCATTATCGGCCTATTTTATGCGCGAATTTATGACGATTATGTGTAACATTGGCGCAATTCTATTTAAAAAAAAACAAATCAACAATTTTTCCTTTATTTCATTCATTGCTACAAAAATAAAAAATAATGCTTTATTTGCCATCAGAAATTTTATCTGAAATATTTAAACACATTGAAGATGATTATAAAACACTACATTCTTGCATTCTTGTTAATAAACAATGGCACATCCTTAATGTTCCAATTTTATGGAGAAATCCATTCTACTCTGTAGACAGTGGAAAAATAATAATCAATTGTTTATTATTAGAAGACGAGAATTTCTTAAAGGAAAACAAGATTAAATTAATTTTCGATCTACTGGAGAAACCACCATTACACAATTATATAGAGTTTACCACAGAATTAGATTTTATCCAGTGCAATGAAAATTTGCATCAGATACTAATCGATCCAATGTTTGTTAAAATTAATTGTTTAAAAGAAAGATTGGTAAAATTCATTTTAGATCATTCAAAAATCAGAAAATTCAGAACTACCAATTTGGAGTGCAAATGGCTGGTCAATCATTGTAGATTTGATACTTGTTTTCAAAATCTATATGAAGTGATATGTCGTTTTTCTAATAGCTCTGAATATATTGATAAATTAGCAAAAACTTGTAAAAATATCCAAGTTTTAGAAATAGAATATGATGGTTATTGTTCTTATAATAACAATATTGATTATAATCTAGCTCAGCTAATCAAAGCACAAAATAAGATCAAGCAATTAATTATTAGTTCATACAATCTTAATTTAATTTTATCGGCCGATTTCAAAAACGCAATTTCAATTCATTCAGACTCGATATTTTATTATAATAGTTATGGAAACAATAATTTGGATTCTTTAATACCAACGTTTAAAAATTTGAAAGCTTTATCATTAACAAATTATTATAGAAATTCAAGTGGCAACAAAATAAAAGATATAAATTCCATCTCATTCCCCAATATTGAGAGCATAGAGATAGAACTTTATAATCAGCCATTTCTATTAAATTTGTTGGATTTCATAAAAATAAACGGAAAGAGTCTTAAGGTTTTGAAAGTTAATGGTAAACCAACAGATAAAGAATATTTAGTAGGACTGATTGAATCAATTGGTCAAAATTGTCAAAATTTAGAAAATTTATCTATATTTTTCAAGAATGATGCAAATCATTTGATTGAAATATTTAATAATTGTGAAAAATTAAAATTAATTAAATTGAAAGGATTTAATGGGGATTGTACATTTGATGGTGATAAGATTTTTACGGTTTTAAGTCAAACTTTGCCAAAAAATTTAAGCACTATAGTGTTTTCACATAAGGTTGTTTTTTCCGATGGTTCAATGGAATTTTTAATGAACAATTGGAAAGGTCCCAGACCTTTTAAGTTGGAATTTAGAAACAAAGAATTTTCTTCTTTGGAGAGACAGTTATTAAAAAAATATCAAGATGTAGGATTTTTAAAATAACAAATTTATTAACAATAATATGTATATTAATAACAATTAACTTATAATGAAGAAAAAAAATTTTTTTTTTTTTGGACAAATTATTTATTTAACAATTAAAATACATACATTATAATTCAGATAAGTTTTAATTTGGATTTTTTAGCAAAAGTTTCATAGAATTCAATCATTTCAGGTGTAATGCGTTTTGATAAATTATTTAAAGCTCTAACAAAATGTCTACGACACACCTGAATAAATAAATATTATAAAATGAGTATATATATGTGCAAGTGTTAATATATATGTGCATACTTACTTGAGTTATATTAATATCTTCTTCCATGGCATTTAAAGCTGATTCTTGACACAAAGAAACAATTTCTGCACCTGAACATCCTTCAGTCTTTGTAACAAAAAAGAAAAATTCAATTAATTATTTATAAATAATATTTATGATAATATAAATATGATAATTACTCGATTTGCTAATTCGTCAATATCGACATCATTTGAATGGGACATTTTATTTAATTGTATATTAAATATTTCTTTTCGTGATAAAAAATCAGGTAATCCAACATATAATATTCTATCTATACGACCTGGTCTTAACAAAGCACTATCCTAATAAATAATAAAATTATTAAGGATAATTATATAGATTCATTATTTTATTTATTAATTAATTAATTATAACTCTTTACCATTATATCAGGTCTATTTGTAGCAGCTACGATAGTAACATTATTTAAAACCTCTATACCATCCATTTCATTTAACAATTGTGATAATACTCTATCACCAACTGATGTACCACCACCACCACCTTCACCAATTCCACGCTTAACTGTTAAAGCATCAATTTCATCCTAATATATATATATGTATAATATTAAATAAATAGCAATTGGTTTATCAACTTATAAAATTAAATAGTTGATACTAACAAAAAATATAATGGATGGTGATGCGGCTCTTGCTTTACGAAATATTTCACGGACTGCTTTCTCTGATTCACCAACCCATTTACTAAATAACTAAATACAACAATATTATTTTTTTATGATTATATTATTGTTACTATTCACATTGAAATTCACAATAAAATTACCTCGGGACCTTTAACAGCTATGAAATTCAAATTTGCTTCAGTTGCTAATGCTTTTGCCATTAATGTTTTACTACAACCAGGTGGGCCATACATTAATATACCTTTTGGTGGCTTGATACCTAAATTTTTAAATTTCTCCGAATACTTTAATGGCCATTCAATGCTCTCTTTTAGCTTTTGTTTAATTTCATTTTGTCCACCAACATCTTTCCAATAAACTTTTGGTATTTCTAATATTATTTCCCTCATTGCACTTGGTCTAACTTTTAACATCGCATCCTCTAAATCTTTTAATGTAATCTTAATATCATCTTTATCATTTTTGTTGTTGTTGTCCTCGTCATTACCATCAATATTATTCCTAACTCTATTTTTTATAACTTTTAATCCAGCTTCTCTACAAATTGCTGACAAATCCGCCCCAACATAACCATGTAGTTTTGATGAAAATGATTCAATTTCATCAATTGTTAATGAGCTTGGAATATCTTTCAATAAAGTTTGTAATATTAATGATCTTGAATGGGAATTGGGAATTCCTATGGAAAAGGAGAAAAACAATATCCATGTATTGTAAATTGTATATTCTCCAAATATTATATTATATTTTTCAACATAATTTATTAATGACTTACCAATTTCAATTTCTTTGTCGAATCTTCCAGGTCTTCTTAATGCCTCGTCCAACGAATTGGGCCGATTGGTAGAACCAATAACAATCACTTTACCATTTTTATCATCACCTTTGTTTGATATACCATCCATCAATGTAAGCATCATGGCAACCACACGTTTACTTGATTCATTATTAACCTGATAATAATGATAATAATAATAATAATATAAGCAATATGAGTAAGAAGTTTATATGATTGAATTAATAAAGTATTATTGTTTTTGTTATGTATGATTATTATGATTGTCTTAACATTACTTGGTCTCTTTTTGGACATAAAGCATCAATTTCATCTATAAATATTATTGAAGGTGAGTTTTCCAATGCCTTTTCAAAAATACTCTTCAACTTGAAAGTAGATAAATTAATAATTAAATAAACAATTATATTTAAAATTATATTAATAATTCCCAGATTGTTTCCCCAAAATTTAAATTAAATTAAATTCGTCCACCTTTGATTCTGTTTCACCATAATATTTGCTAATAACCTCAGGACCATTTATGAAAATTTTGTATGAATTTGTTTCTGATGCCACTGCATTAAATATCAATGTTTTGCCAGTACCAGATGGTCCATATAAAAGTATTCCTTTTGGTGGA